CTAGCAGCATAAAAATGTCTGCTGATATGGAGTTATAGCAACTAATATGGGTTAATGCTGTCAAATGGCTATTGTTCCTTGGGTAGCCTTGCTGTATTCTTTTTTCTTTTAGCGTACGAAATTTAGTGGACTAATCGCTGCGCGAGTTTTGTCATACTTGTTGCTGCGCAAATTTTGGCATCTGTAAACTATGTATCAGTTATGTTATGTGTTATTTGTTGTTTGCATTGTGCAAAATGTTCTCGTGTATATCAGGGTTTGCAGGCGATTGGATTTTTACCTGGTAGTCCGGCCAAATGATTCTTAGCTGTGTGCACTGTGAAGGTCCGATTGCTGTTGCTGGGCAGCTCACCCTTATATGCTTTTAACAAACAAGAGTAGGGGAGTTCTTTGAAAAGAGACTAGTTCCTGTACCGTTTATTATTGCAGCCTGAAAATTGCAGGTGAACAGTCAAGCTGTAATGAAAAATAGTGCATTGAAGTTCTTATTATAGCTTACTACCACCCTATATATACCAATAGAAAGGAAAAAACACTAAATGCTCTCTGAATATAATCCTACATATGTTAAACATATGGCATTTAGTGCAAAACTGAAGCTAAGGCATGCAAACAAAAAAGTGTTCGTTCTTGCAAAAAAATTCTCGTTCCCTCTCTAAATTCTGATGTTAGGGAACTATTCATACATTACATCATCGAGGCCAATTATTATCTTCATTCTTCTCTAATGGCTTGAGATCAATGTGTTGATAAACCTCATCTCCTAATAGATTCCTTTCCCCAATGAATACCAGCTTCAATCTCAGGCTCTCAGCGCTTGTGCAGTTTGTGTTTGATAGAACCTCGAGGGAAAAATCAGTTCGGCTTCCTTCTGTCACGAGAGCTCGGCCATGGTCTCCCCCTCGTCGAGCTCCCCTCCCATCTGGTCAGCGAGCAGCCGGAGCACCTCCCAAATCTCCACGCGCTGCGGGTGCGCCTGGTCGTCGGCGACGAACGAGCTCACCACGCCGTCGACCTCCACCTCGCTGTATGCGGGGACCTTCCTGATGCCGCGGCTACCGATCAGCTTCCTGACCCTCCGCGCGTCGTCCTTCCGGTTGGCGTCGAGGTAGATGTTGGAGAGCTGCACGTACACGCCCTCGTCGGGGCCGGCGCCGAGCTTGCCGAGCTCGGCGGCGGCCACCTCCGCCAGCTCCACAGCCCCAGACGGAGGCGAGCGGGGCCATTGGCATTGTCTCGATCAGCGCCACGGCGTCCTCCAGCCGGTCGACACGGCAGAGCATGTCCACCGTGCAGGCGTAGTGCTCGTGCCCCGGCGCGACGCCGTACCGGCGGCTCATCTCTCTGAGCAGCCTGAGCCCGTCGTCGACCTTGCCAGCGTGCGCGCACGCGGAGAGCGCTCCGAGCACCGCCACGCCGTCCGGCCGCACGCCGTCCTCCCTCGCCATCCTGTCCAGGCACGACACGGCCTCCTCCGCCCTGCCATGCACCGCGAACGCGCCGACCATGGTTCCCCAGACGTAGTCGTTCCGCTCCGGCATTCCGTCGAACACCCGCACCGCCTGCTCCAGGCAGCCGCACTTGGCGTACATGCTCACCAGCGCCGACCCGACGAACGCGTCCCCGAGCAGCTCCGGCGCGCTCCTCTCCACGTACCGGTGCACCCACTCCCCGCACTCCAGCGCGCCGGCCTGCGCGCACGCCGTGATGGCCGTCGTGAGCACGACGGCGTCTGGCGCCACCCCGTCCATGAACATCGCCCTGAACACCCCCAGCCCCTCCGCTGCCATCCCCGCGCGCGCGTACGCGCCGATCACCAGGTCGTAATGTATAGCCTCCCGCCTGGGCAATTCGTCAAACACCCTTCGCGCGTCGTCCGGCCGGGCCGCGTGCAGCTGCAGCAGCGCGGTGGCGACGTAGTGGTCGGAGGGGAAGAGGCCGTTCTTCACGAGGAGCGCGTGGAGCTGGGTCCCGGGGGACGGGGAGACGGCGGCGGCGGCGGAGAGCGCGAAGGGGAAGGAGAGGTGGTCGGGCGGCGGGAGGGGCGAGGCGGGGGAGAGCATGAGCAGGAGGAGGCGGAACGCGAGGAGCGGGTGGGCCGGGGAGGAGGCGCGCCGGGAGAGGACGCGGAGGAACGAGTTGAGCGCGACGAGGGAGAGGTCGGGGTGGCGCGGGGGCAGGAGGCCGGCGGTGGTGAGGAGCGCCTGCACGGGCAGGGTCGGCGCCGTGGGGGAGGAGGCGGCGGCGGCGGACGGGAGGAGGCGCGAGGAGAGGAGGGAGTGGCAGAAGGAAGGCGAAGGTTTGCTTGGGGATGTACGGACGCATGCTCGCCCGGCGCGCGCGGTTGGAATGGCCGTTTGTTTAGCTTGGAGCCCTCCTGCGCATTTTCACAGTAGTCTATACCATCTTAAAAAGACAGCAACCGTGGTGTCCGTTCCCACAATTGCCAGGCTGACTTGTGGGCCCACATTGTCGGTGAGAGGGGGAAAGGATCCGGCCGCGTGCGTGCGGGGCGGAGAGGTGGCGAAATACGCGCAGCCTGCAGGGAAGGAGGAGGGGGTGCCGGTTCCGCCCTTCCCGTCGCCGACGCCGGCGGACCTTCACGGTTGCATGCCGCTGACGTCGCCCGAGCTCACTGCCGCCCTCGTCGACGGGCCACCGCCGCCGCTGCTCTTGCTTCGCCCGCTGCTCGAACCCGTCGCGGAGAGGCGGCGGGATCCGTCGACGAGAGGGGGGATAGAGAAGGGCGGGCGCACCAGCCGCTCGAACTGCTCGAAGACGGCCAGGTCGGCGCCACCGTTGGCGCGCGCCGCGGCGATGCGGGTGCTGGCCACGGAGTCGGATCCAAAGCGGCGTGGCGTGTGTGCGATGTGAACGAGTGCGGGCGTGGCCGCGTGGGACAGTGAGTGGACCGGGGTTGGAGACTTGGAGTTAGGCAGTTAGCAGTCAGGGTTAGGCATGTCGATGGGCTGCTGGGCTGTTCATGGGCTTCTATGCCTTGTGCAATAGTAGGTTGGTTTTTCTGGTGTTTATTCTGTCGATCTGCTTCTGGAGACAAATGGATGATGGCTTCCATCACTCCATGTGAAAATATGGGTGTCGTAGAAAACTTTCTTATGGACTGAAATAAGTAAAGGGAAATTCTCAACCAAATATTAAAAATACCTTTTCTTCCCAAGGACTAGCATATCATATACAATAGTTTAGAAATATAGATAATTCATGTCCAATATATTGTTCATCCCTACGAACAATTATGTAGTTTGACATACATGTCTAAAATTATGCTAAATATAATTTGGTAATTACAGTGAAATCTTTTTTTTGGTTTTACCATGTTTGATGGGTTATTTCTTAAAATCCTGATGCAACGCATATGAATTCAGCTAGTAGCACAAAGGAGGCGTGCGAAGGCCCATAGGGCCCCACCACATCTTCCCTGCCACACTGCCATTTGTCCTCACCATGCACGACGTTGCAACAAATCACCTATATATTTTGGAAATCCTGAATTTGATTTATTTTTTTATTCCAAAAAAATATTTCATCTAGTGTACCCACAATGTTTCACTATGTATAGATCAATGTTGCAGTGAACTGAAATATTCCATTGCAACAAAAAAACACACATATTTTGGAAACCCTCTATTAAGGGAATTTGGTTTATTTTTGTTCCACAAAAAATGTTTCACCTAGTGTACTCATAATGTTTCACTATGTATAGATCTAATGTTGCAGTGAACGGAATATTCCATTGCAATAAAAAAACCCACATATTTTGGAAACCCCCTATTAAGGGAATTTGGTTTATTTTTTGTTCCACCGAAAAATGTTTCACCTAGTGTACTAACAATGTTTCATTGTGAACTGAAATATTTTTTCGTTATTTGCTGAAACATTGTTTTAATATAAGGTGAAACAACACCCGATTTAAACGAGTGAAACATTTTCGATCTGCTTAGTGAAACAATTCCGATATAACTACTGGAACATCGTGCAACATTTAAAAATAATTTAACAATAAGCTAAATTTTTTTCATTGGAATATATCCATGTGTGGTCTTGTTTTGAAGATTTAATTGCAACAAATTTAATGATACAATCGAATCATGATTTGGATAAGTAATTTAGGAGAAAAATCAGTTTAAAGTAGTTTTGCACGTAAATCAAGCGCTGCCCAAACTTGCCGAGCCGTAGCTTCATCCTTATAACCAACAGCATTCTAACAGATGATCGGATAGTAGATTATAAACAGAGAAAAAAATACACGTGACTCCATTTTTTTTTTTACAGATGACGCCGTTAACTTTTGGATATATGTTTTATCCTTCGTCTTAATCAAAAATTTTATTCAAATGTATATAATGTAAATCATGCATAAAATACTTTGATTACGAAAATTTTTTAAATAAAACAAATGATCAAACTCATAATAAAAATTCAAAGGTATTAAAAAAAGGAGGTAGTATTATGAAGGGTATAGAAAAAGTTTCCTGAAATTCTGAATAATGTTGACGTACAGAAGTTTTTAAACAAACCATAAACGTGATAAGAAAAATCCATATCAATATAGCTCCATAAGCTGAAAAAATTGTACCGTATCGGTTTCCACGTGGAAGGATTATAAAGCTCATAAAAAAAGTTAACTAAATAATGTACAAAGTTTTTAAACAAACCATAGTTTTATGGAAACTTTTTGGAATGTGATAAACCTAAATAAGCTGAAATCAAGTTGTACTTGTATCGGTTTCCACGTGTAAGGATTAAGGAGATAAATTAGAGATTCATCGCATTTGAGTATATCAGATCACCTGCTCCAAAAATTTGGTTTTGGAAATTTAACATTCATAATTTAAATTTAAATGGACCTACGTAACAGGCTAACACAAAGTTGTCTTGCATTATTTTCAGTTGCACATTTGGAACACAGACGCAAAGTTGTCTTTGATGGACTTTGATCATTTGTAAAAACGAAGCATTATTGAAGAAAACTGCACAAATTGAATGAACAATTTAATAACATAGGGGATTGCTCAGCATAGAGGCATGAATTTAATAACATCAGGTAAATACGACGGGCATGAACATAGAGGCATGCTCAGCATTCATCGACCATTGAGAAACAAGCAAAACTCGCCAGCAGCTGATAACCAACACTGAAAGATTGACTACAGGATGATACCCGAACATCATCGAAAGACTACAGGATACCTTTGGGAAAAAGGCATTATGCTCACAACCAAACCTCGCGCTCAGGGAAAACAACAAACCAAACATGAGGGCTCCCAACACATAAATAGATAACTTTTTTCCCTGATATTTAAATAAAGCATGCACTTAAATATCACCAGTAGCCCATGGATTCTCCTCACCCATCTGCTCACTGCTTGGATCTTCAGTTTCCTCGTCCACCACGGCCACCCATTCTTCCCCGCCCGCGGCCGCCATATCCCCTTCCACCAGGAAAACCGCCACCTCTGCCTCGTTCGTACCCTGTGTTTTGCAGACAACAAATGTGGGTACTACGCTAATAAATGGTAACCGTTATTGTTCATGATTACCTAAGCATAGTCTGATGAAACAGCCGATGATCAGCATGGAAAGCCAGGAATGATAAAGCATCAGCAAAAAGAAAATGACAAATTACGTGTCTGACTGAAACACAGAAAAGGCAGTTCTTTCATTACGCTACCCTAAGATTATCTAAAACTAGTGTTTGTATAAAAATTTATAAGCCCGCGTGTGACAGCATGACAGGTGTATGCCATCAGAATTACCACCATTGATATGCTTTAGGGTACAATTAAATAGAAACCAATCATTGCATGAGTGTTCGTGATGTAAGTTTTTGGAGACAGGATTTGTTTATATGATATAAATCTACGGTGAATTTAACCAGATTAGGTTAAGGTAGCATCAGTGCATATACACAGGTCAGGAAACATCATGATCGTTATTAAGTAATAAAGCATAACATTTGAAGCACTCAGAAAATACAAGTATGCAATAACAAGACATACCGCCACGGTAATTCCAATTGCCCCTCCCGCGCATGCCACCCCGTCCTCGGTTATATCCACCATTTTCTGTTTCAACAAAACAAGATAAGTAACTATCCAAGGTTTCTTAAACAATGAGGATTAAAAATTCAACTACAGAACATGCCCTCCAATACCTTGGTAGTTTCCATATCTGCCTTGGTTGTAGCCATATCCACCACCACCATATCCCCCTTGATTATCATAGCCACCATATCCTCCCTGATTATCATAGCCACCATACCCACCTTGGTTATCATAGTACCCACCACCTTGGTTGTACCCACCTTGATTGTTTCCATATCCACCATAACCACCATAACCTCCTCTACCCCAACCCCTTCCACGTCCACGCCCCCTTCCTCTGCCACGACCCCGGACATAGGAGTCTAACAAAGCAGAAACTATCAGAAGTTTGAACAGAAGTACCAACTTTTGTGCTAATTATTTCTATAGTACCTTCATAATCAGGTGGTGGTTGACGAACTTGGCGCTGTGGTGGTGGTGGCGCCTGCTGGAGGCGCGGCTGTTGCCGGGGTTGTTCAACATAAACTGGGGTTTGGTACCTGTAAAGAACATATTAGCATTCCAAAGTAATTTCCTTTGTATAGAACTGCAATTCAAGTTCATAACCTAGAAATTTAATGAATTAATGGATATAAGCATTAAAGCATCTGACTTACCCAGGAGAGTTCTTGTCCAGATCTCTGGGAGATAAGGTAATTGAAATCATCGAAACATGACGAGTCATCTCTAGTCTGCAAAGTGGGTACACCGCAAATTAGGTAAGAATACTCAACACAGCAGAATAATGTAGAGCATGCGGACGGGGTACAGTGGAAGGAAGAATCTTACGGAACAAGGCCTTCTTCAATAGGTTCCCAGACATCAGTGATGCTGACAGAACTGATGTTGGTATCTTGATAAAGCCCAGGGACTCTTTTCTGTTTTCATGAAAGCCATCAGTTAATGTCGCATATAAGATATGACCCATGAGAAAAATATATACATATGAATTATCACCTTGATAATTTCTGCAACAGCAACAGATTTGCTGATTGCCTGCCCCATGGCCTTCAGAACAATCTCTTTAATCCTCCGATCCTAATTCAAAACAATAATCTTATGAAGCAACACCAGATGGATCCAAAAAAACATGACCACAATGAAACCATAAACAAACTAAGACTTTTTGACAAATTAGTCGAGTGCTGACTAATACAATCGGGACACAACAAACAAAAACGTTCAGCCCTTCAATGTAAGTAAAGATATTCGATAACACAGGTAAATAATGTATAAAGAAAACCTAACAATTAAACGACATGTATTTTATCAAATGGCCAGCAGTTGGAGTCAAACTACAAAATAAAAAAGGGAAAAATTTGCCCCAAAACACAACAGATCTGTATGGTTGAAAGTTAGAACTGATGTTAGCATAACAATCAGCATAGGAATCAGGAACTACATTTTAGAACCACATTAAGCACTGATAATTAGACCACAGACATCTCAAGTCCTACAGCGGAGTATATAACACAAACGGGCTGTGTCCGATGGTGGTGAAGTCAGACACAAAAATCAACAACATGGACCCATAGGGCAAGATCACAACAGAGACATGGAATTAGAAATTATAAACACATAACTCTTTAAATATCCATGTATAGTTGCATTGATATCCCTGATGCTACGCCAAGATGATCAGGTTGGTGCGTTAATCTTCCAATTTCTCATGGAACTCAGACCATACAACCTCAATGAATATCAGGAATGCCAAATTATATTACCATTATACAAGCTAGCCCTACTATCAGCATATACATTATCAACATTTCAAAACAAAATACAGGTTCGCACTTTAACCTTCACTCCTCCAGATTTACCCGCTGGATGACACAGAATCGCAGAATCTCAACATCGGATACATCAAATTGGGTTTCCAGGTGAATTAACAGCTAAACCACACATGTTCAACATGTTTTTTTTTCTTCAATACGCATCAAAACACCAAAAAAAGGCAGTACATAGGTAACCTATCTGTCGCTTCAGTAGGCCAAACTCAACCCGACACCATCTCACATCTTAAACCACATCGCCCAAACGCAACATCGCCATCAGAATCAGACCACATGAAACTAGCCGTTCGAATATACTGATCTCTCCACACAAAACTAGCGCGGGTGCACCACGACCTCCCAAACCCCAAACACCGACAAAGCCGAATCGAATCCTCCACCACGCACACGCAAGACGAACACCATAGAGCGGGGGGACGAGAGGATTAGAGGAGGGGCGAAGGGGCGCGCACCTGGAGGAGGGACGTGGCGTAGGAGACGTAGTTGCGGATGAGCCCCTGCGCGGTGATGCGGATCTCGTTCTCCTCGATGGCCGACTCCGGCCGCGGCCGCTCCACCCTCTGGTACCGGTCCATCTCCGCCGCCCCCGCGCCTGCGCCTGCGCCGCCGGCGCCGCCCGCTCGTCGCCGCCGCGGCGAGGTGGTGGAAGGGATTGCGAAGCGTGAGGAGGAGGAGGCGGCGGGAGGGGAGGGGAGGGGAGGGGAGAGGGGAGCTAAAACCCTAGGAGAGGCGGAGCCAACGATACGGACGGCACGCCTCGTGGGGAGGCTCGGCTTACACGAAATAGGCCTTTTTATTAGTATTTTCTATCTAGTTAACGACGGCGAAAAAAAGGATAGAGAAAAGATCGTTTGGGAAATCTCCTGGGCCGTCGGATGTATGGCTCTTTCCTTGTTTAAGGCCGTTTTTTTCGAGGGGTGGCCATAGAATCTACAATGGGCCTGTTTGGCACAGCTCCAGCTCCACCCCTCCTGGAGCTGGAGCTCAGCCAAACAGTTTCAGCTCCGGTATAGTTCTCTCACAAAATGTACTAGAGTAGTGGAGCTGGGTTTAGGCAGCTCCACAACTCCACTCCAGACTCAACTCCTGGAGTTATATTTAGGAGTTGGAGCTGTACCAAACATGCCCTATAGACTTGTTCACTTTTGTAGCTATTTTTAACCCTATTTTAGTAGTTTAATTAAATTTTGGTAGTATTAGATGCGTTTATTTTTAAGAGTTGTCAAATTTTGGCAGATTTTTTAAGAGCGAAAACTTCTAGAATTGTCAAAGTTTGATAATGTAGCATTGGCAAGTTGCAAGTACATCGTTCGTTAAAAAAAAAACAACTTATGACCATGTCAATCTATATAGTTAGAAGTTGATTTTTTTAAATAGAGAAAAGTACTATATTTTGTTTGTCCTCTTAACAAAAATGGTAGAACCGAAAATAATAACAAAGTAAACAAGCCCTATAACAAGGTTCTTTCATTCCTGAGTTAAATAAGCTTATAGCCTTCATACTCCGTACAATTTTTGACAAAACATTTTTCAAGAAAACCTTGTCACAAATTTCCTGCCATGCAAAAGTCCAATTAAAAAGTTAACATATTTTTTATAATGGAATAATGTTCCGGCTTTTGCTCAACGATAAACAAAAGTTAACATTGTCCTAAGTTTTTTAATAGACTACACCCTCCTTGACATACATAATGTTTATTACCAATCATATAACTCTGGTTTGTACCTTTTAGACATGCTTGAAAATGTTATAAGACCATGAATCGCCTTTCATGGCATGTGCTATATAGCCACTAAAACGTATGAATGTGTGCAATTCAAAACACGGTAAATCACGAGTAATAATTTTAGGATTTAAGTTCTAATGGGTATCCTTCGTCCAACCATCCATTGGCAAGGAAGATTCCCCCAAAGGTTAAAGCGCGTTTGGAAATTTGTTTACTTAAAAGCCGTGGGATCGTTGGAGCGCCACGTCAGCAATTTTTACAGAAAACCCCTCATCATCTGGTGAAATAGCATACACGTTCGAATTCACGTAGACCGTACGATCTGATACAAGGCTTGATCCAACCATCCACGTGGCCCTGTGTGCCGACCCTTCCACCACCGTTGAATCAGAGAAAAAGAAACGAACGGCTCAGATCCCTTGAGCCAAGCCTCCTAACGAAAACCCTAGCTTCATCCCTTTCCTCCAGTCCACGACGCCGCCGCCGCCCTCTCGTGCCCTCCTCTCTGTCGCTGTCGCCACGTGCCCTCCTCTCCGTCGCTATCGCCGCCCGCCCTCCTCTCCGTCGCCGCCGCCGCGCGCCCTCCTCTCCGTCGCCGTCGCCGTCATCGCGCGCCTTCCTCTTCGTCGCCATCGCCACTCGCCTTCCTCTCCGTCGCCGTCGCCGCTGCCTCCCTCTATTTCGCCGGCGACACCGCCGCTGCCATCCTCTATTCCGCCGGTCATGCCGTTGCCACCTCCCTCTATTTCGCCGGTGATGCTGCCGCCCTCTATTCCACCTTCGTTGTTGTCCTCTGCTCTGGTGCCGTCACCGCCAAACTGCCCTCCTAGTTGCAGCTAGAGGTGTTTGCCTGTGTGGCCCTGCTCTTTCCCTGCCATGGATACGTTTCTTTGAATGAGGTAGCTCCTTGCCATATGATTTATAATGGGTGAGGTTAGTTCTTTTATATATATATATATATATATATATATATATATATATATATAATTTAGATGATATTGTTGGCTTGGGTGAGTTAATTAAGTTGGTCAGTGTTTAAGTAGCCAAATGGTTCATGCCTCTGTCTAAATAAACTTATAAATTCTATGGTTCTTTTTGTCCTTGCCAAGCAATGCAAATCAACAAGGACTTCGGTGCCTTATCTATTTATGATTATGATGATCATTTTCTACTTATCTGATGCCCCTCTTATATTTTGATTATGCTGCTGATTTCTAGCAAACAAGCTTCATGCTCTATCACTAACTGCGAGGACAGACAATTGCCCCATAATGCTTGAGGTAATCATAACATATCATTGTGCTATTCTTTTAACTGTCATTCTGAGGTACTCAACGTGTGTGGGTGCAGATTTATCTTCAAATCTTCTTTGTACTGTAAAGTTCAGATGTCATACCTGACTACTTGCATGTTGCAGTCTTTTGTCCAAGACGATTCCAACATCAGGATTGCCATCTATTCAAGTAATACACGGTACTATTCCTCTCATTGCGATTAACTGCTACTTTCTATGACATAAATTATGCATTGGATCCCAATCAGTGGCACTAAGTTTTAGGTTGACTGCAATGCCTTTTCTCTGCAGTTGCTCACTGCAATTGCTTTTTGTCAAGCCTCATTGATGTATTCAACAAGTATCAGTCGCTGAAGCAAGTTCTGCTGCAGCACAAATCTAACAGTGTTAGGTTCTTATGTTCTTCTGGTTATACCTAGCATTCTTCAATGCCAATTTATCACATTTCTAGGTGCCTTTTCTGGTTATAGTTTCTTACTCTATTTTTATAGCATCTATATGAAGCAGCAATAGTCATTTCAGGATTCTTTCCTGCTGGTAGGACAGATGTGGAATCATAACAAATGTCCAAATTTGGCGTGTTTCATATGACCTAAGTAGCAAAAAGATAGGCATTAGTACAATTAGACATGGCTTGTGGGTAATAAGGCTTAGCTATATGGTCATTAACTTAGCTATAAAGTTGTTACTTGACCAGATCAGCTATCTGGCAGAACTAAGACTTACAACTGGCACATCACTTCAGAGAACATACTTGCTTAGACCTGCAACTTGCATGTACCATATTCTTCAGATACGTTGGTTGCCCATATAAAATGGGGTCTTAATTCCTTTACGTGCAATAATTCATAAAGTCTGAATTCATCTTCAACAGTGCTTTGGTCACAACCAATTGAAAGCTGTAGATATTTCTTACCACACACATTCCTTATGGTAGTGTTCAAATAAAATAAATTTACTCTAAATATTTGCTTGACTGAAAGACAATTTACCTTTATTGCATTTCAGGATTCAGTTATACCCTAAAACAGATTTATTTGACCCTTTATAAAGTTACATGTCCATATTATATATTCATATTAATATTAGTTTATTCCAAGCTACAGTCCAAATAAATAATTGAACCATTTGGTAGTAATCAGTTGTTGAGCAAAGCTCCCAAATAGCACGTGTAATCAAGTTCTATTGTGTTGTATTCATACTCTCAGATGGTGGTTAGATCTTTATGCCACATTATGACTTAATGAATGTATCCTCTTATGTGAATTAGCTAAGCATTGACAAGTGAAGTCCTTGCATGATTACATCTTATTTAATCTTTGTAAGATAAGTTAATTAGCATATCCATATGTTTTTAGTTTTGACTTACACAAAGAAACTGCTATATTTAGTCACTGGCTAATTCATTACTTCGTTGAGTTATTTCTCTCTTCTGTTGACTGCAGTAATAACTGGTGCTTTCTTCACTAGGTCAACATCTCCTTTGTTTATATATACCTTACCCATCTTTACGGAATCACATTCACTGCACTTGCATCTTTTTCCCTTTTCTCCATTGATACTATCCTCAATCTATTAGTGTGGTAACACCGGTATATATTCTGTTGAATTGTATGATAGGTGATGCCTTTCTGAATGATATTGGTACAATTGGAAGGATAATAGAGCAAAGATTTACCTTTTGTTTTTATGGTGTCCTGGCCATAGTCAAACACGGGAGATCACCATACATTAGTTGATTCTGCCTAATTCTAATACCAATGTAATTGCAAGTTGACATTGATTTCAGACACCGCTTTGTGTAAAGATATTTTGTAGAAGTTCTTTTATCCTACTTCAACCATTGCATGCCGAAGCAAAACATGTCTACGTTCTTATGTGATGTGATTCGGGTGAATGAAATTCAGACATTTGTCAGACCCATTACTTATAATGGGTGTTCCTTCAAAATCAGTGGCATCATCAGCCAGGCGCAGCGTAGCGCGCAAATATTTCTAGTTTAAACTTTAACATGAAAACCTGCAAGCTCACGATAGACACATGACCAAACACATCCCTAAGAGTGAGTATAATAAGATAACATAAGCGTGGGCTATATGAGTTGTCGTATAGAGAGAAGAGAGAAGAAAAACAAGCTACTAATTTATGCCTAGCTACATCACGGGCTCTAACAATCTACGTGTGAAAGAAGTGGGCCAAATACCCATGGTGTAGTGTATATATATGTATAGCTAAGCACATGTATGTATCCACTATTAGGTTGATAATAAATGACGTGTCAATCTTTATAATAAAAGGAGTGTAGCTCAACCGGTTAGTCTTCAAGTCCTACAAGACTCCAACTGGCATGGGTACTCACATTTATGCTGCTACGACCCTTCCTAGAGGGTGGTTGAGGAGAGGAGATGAGACCTTTATCTCCTTTCTGTCGGCCTTGCCCTATGAACCATCAGGTGGAGGCTCACCCACATCAAGCGTTTGCGGTGCGGTCCACCGTATTATTTATATATTAATTTTTACTAGAAATAGAACATGTGCGTTGCAACGGGTGAATGTTATTTTAATCTTATTATTATTATACGGTTTAGATAGGGTAAAATTCACTGTGGGAATTCGTATGGATTTTTTTTTAGAAAATCACGAGCTGCAATTAGGAGTCCGACTTTCATCTCAAGTTAGCATGCAAGTTTTTTTAAAAGAGATTTCTTATACGACTCTTTTTTGTATTTTCAAAAGCAAACGAGCTTAAAATCCAACTCAAACATGGATCTGTATTTCCAAAAGTGAACGAACTTAAAAACCGACTCAAACACGAATAGCGTACCAAAATATCGACAAAAACATCTTCAATTTTTATAATAGTAAAGATTAGTATATATACAGTGTTTTCATCATGTAGTCAACATTCCATGTGGGTGCCACATAGGATAAATTCACTCTCCAATTTATCAAGGACTCAATTTACACTGGTATTGATAAGTTGGAGGACACTCTACATCTGTTTTTGTTGTTGAGGGACGACATGTGGACCTTTTCTACCCATATCTGGATCACAAATCAATGGAAGTAATCGTATATGGGCCTGGCTGATACATGCCCATTCATAATTAGGCCACGCACGAAGCCCGCAACAAACCCCTCCTCTTTCTCGGCGTCGGCGGCGCATCTCCCACTCGTCCGTCTCGACTGCGCTTACATCGTCCGGAAAAGTTATCTCGCGCGCGCCGGCAACGTGCATTTTCCTAGAGTAGTTTTAGGCTGAGTTCTTTGGGAGGGGCTGGGCTTCCGCACGAAAAACAGAATGGTAAATTAGCACGTGATTAATTAAGTATTATGTATAAAAAATTTAAAAATTGGATTAATATGATTTTTTTAAAGCAACTTTCCTATATAAACTTTTTGCAAAACGTGTACCGTTTAGCAGTTTAAAAAGCGTGCACACGTAAAACGATGGAGATGGGTTGGGAACCCACGGTAAAGAACATAGTCTAACTAGCTAAATCAGTTTTAGATAATGATGATAATTAAGGTAAGATTTTTTTTACTAACATATTAAAAACTTTCAAGATAGATTTAAAAACTTTCAACTTAAAATTTAAACTTTAAAGTCAATTTTTGAAAACTTTTGCTCAAGATTTAAAAACTTTCAAGTCCGAATTTAAAAATTTTTAAGTTAAGATTTGAAAACTTGAAATTTAAAAACTTTCAACTTAGATTTGAAAACACGTGTGCTGAAGATTAAAAAAAAATAAAAAAACAAAAAAATCACGAAATAAATGCGCGCATGCGAATTAGCCATCCCCCACGCCGTCTGCCTTTGGCCTCAAAGGCTGACTTTGCCGTTGCTTCATCTCAGCTACCCATTCAACAATAAACAACTGCTGTAATTATCAGTTATCTAAACAAGAGAATAAGGTGTTTCGTGTCAGAAAATCAGCAAACAAATTTTCTAACGGCAAATTAGACTCTAATTATTAGAGCACGCATAAACAAGACATACCTCGACTTGACTAATAGCTAAAAACCAACTGACAGTACCAACCAAATAATCTAACATTAGTTTGGATACGTTTTTTCTAAAAATATGGTGTCATTTATTTACTTGATTTCAAAACATTTTTTAAGTATGTTTCGACTGCTCTTTTAAGTAGGTAATCATTTTCTTTTATCCTCGTCTTAAAGTTATAGTATAATTAACGTGCAAATATATATAGTTTATCGTGTAAAAAATAATTGTTTTTGAAAAAAAGTGACGCATGAATATCGAGTAAATATATTGTAGAAAGTCTTGAAAAAACGTGAAATCAAATATCACGTTGCAGCTTTTCTAGATCTCGGTTAGTTAAAAACGCCTCAAATCGGGTGCCCGACGGTGGAGGATAAAATCGGGCGCCTCCCACCACCCCCTCCCCCGCACACGTGTCCTATGCCGCTCCCGCCACGTGTCCCCACCACATATGCTGTTGCAACAAATCACCCACATATTAAGGAAACCTGTTTCATTTTTTTTCCAAAAAAAATATTTCACCTAGCATATTCATAATGTTTCACTATGTATGGATTAAATGTTTAAGTGAATTGAAATATTCACCCACATATTATGGAAACCATTTATTAAGGGAATCTTTTATTTTTTGTTCCAACAAAATTGTTTCACCTAGTGTACTCATAATGTTTTACTATGTATGGATCAAACGTTGCAGTGAATTGAAACATTCTTTCACTATTTGCTGAAACATTGTTTATATATAGGGTGAAACAACGTCCGTTTTTTTAGAAACTGTTGTTTCATATTGTCGACGTTTGATATCGCGATTTCGGTATTTACATAGTATGGGGATCGTTGTGTCGACGGGAGATACCCGTAGACCGGATATAGAGGGTATTGGAGTACGCTGGTACGAGGATCTACGTAATACGACATCAAGCAGATAAAAAACAAAGATTATACTGGTTCAGGCCCCTTGATAGGTAATAGCCCTAATCCAGTTGATATGGGATTTATGATGGAAACCACGGATTACAAAAGGAATAGCGGAACTCGATGATACCGACGAGATCGTAATCAAACAGGTTCGATTAGATCTCCCGGCGACTTGGCTCCTGTAGGCTTCAACTCCGTAGGCTGTGGTGGATGTGTTGGCTATGAGATTCGATGCCTTAGGTCCTCCCGGGGGGTCCCTTTTATATCGCAGGTCAACTGGTCTCCCAGTAGGACTCGGAGACATCGGACCCGGCACGATATAATGACGACCCAGTTCTGTCCGAGTAGGACTCCTTCCATCTGTGAACTCGATAATGAATTTCCTTAACATATGCCGAAAACGTCTGTATACGCGCAAGTGTACCATATCGATATGTGACGTATATTGAAGGGTAGAGGGTATACCTTACCCATAACCCTGACAGTAGCCCCCCGACTTCTGCTTAAATGAACTTGTGTAACCGATCGTGACTTCTGATGTCGAGGTTGTTGTCGTTTTCGGTGTGAGGACAGAGAGACAAGGAGTAATCGACAACTCCAAGTGAAGCTCAATGGTCATGAGTGAATTTAAATTGAAGTCTGAAAAATTGCCGCGCGTAACGGACCTAGAAATTTCCGGCGGCCATCTCTCTCCTTTCCTTGGAATTCGCACCGTCGGAAGTGCGACTATTTAAGGAAATTTTGGGGATCCATTTTGAAGTCCGCCCGTTGTGAAAAATCTCTCCAGCCTCCAAACGCTCCTCGTCTTCTCCGCTCCCGCAAAAACCCTAGCTAGCTCATCTCGGTCCCTTCGGCGATCTCCGGCGGCAATGGATCTCGACAAGTCTACCTCCACCAGCGCGTCGCTGAAGAAACTACAGGAGGATGGCGCCCTTCCCGGTCGCGGGACCATGGAGAGAGAAGCAGGAGGTATTGAACCCCAGCCTGTCCTGGGTCGCATGGTTGCGATCGAGGACTATATTCTCTGTGGTTTTCTTCCTCCGCCTTCTGAATTTCTTCTCTTGGTCTTGAATTTCTACGGCCTTTCTTTGCTCCATTTGAACCCCAATTCCATCGCCTTCCTCAGTATTTTTTCACATCTTTGTGAGGCCTACATTGGGGTAGAGCTGTTTCTTGACCTCTTTCGTTTCTACTACGAGTTGTGTTGGATGGAATCCAACAGGGTATCCGAATGCGTCGGTTTCCAACTCCGGGATGGCCTGAAGTCATGCTATATCCCCTTCCAGTGCCCTTCTTCTCGTAGCAAATGGCGGGCGAGGTGTTTCTATCTTCAGATAGAAAATTCGGATCATGTCTTCGTTGTTCCTGAGGAACAACCAGACAAGATTTCGTCTTGGACCGCAAAACCCGCCTTGACCCCTTCTCTTCAGTCCTTCATTGATGCCATCGATGACCTCTGAGTACGAGGTTTGTCGGGGTATGAAGTCGCTGCCGAGTTCATTAGTAGGCGGGTCCAGCCACTCCAGGCTCGAGCCCACCCAGCCTTTGACTATTCTGGGCCGGAGGACGCGACCCGGGTTTCTCCTCGGGGTATTTTTCTTGTATTTAAATTAACTTCCTTATGTGCGTGTTCCTCCTGACTTATCGAATTCTGGTTCTCGATCTACAGGTTTGAACAGCGAAACCGTGGAGCGCCGCGTCGGCCAATTGATGATCAGCGGCCCAACAACGGCGAGCAACGTCCCCGTCCCCCTTTGCGAGAAGGGGGCAGCCGAACGCGAAGCTGCCATCAATGTAAGTGTAGGCTCTTTTGCATTTTTCTTCCAGGATCGCACTGTGACTTCATGAAGTGTAGGCTCTCCCTCTGACTGATATCATCGGGCCGCTCGTGGACCATCAGGCGGCGGCGTCGCTGAAGGAGAACGTCGCCAAGGAGGCG